CATTTTGGATTCTAAAGATGTAGTTCTCAACCTGTTTGGCATGTATTTTTGGACTACATAGGAAAATCTTATAAGTCTTGTCGCCTAAACTGGCAATTTGACCAACATAAAGAAGAAAACAAGAATAAAGCCACAGAGTGGTAAACGTTTAATATCAATACCCCTGTTTGTAATTTGACTGTCTTATGATTGCTCAAGATAAGAAAAGAGCAATTCAAACTAATCCCCCCCCCCCCCCACGTCTTATCCTACATTCACAGCCATTGACTTGAAAATAAATAATGCAAACATTGATATCTTTAGGTCAGGGGCGGCTCGTGGGGCTAAAAAGTGGACGTGCACAATTAAGCTATCGCATGCTGAAAGTAGTCAAGGGCATAGTAAATGAGGCGGTGTATAATTTTAGGATCTTTGGGTTGGTGAGGGAGGACCTTGTGCTTTTATTTTCATTCTTTTTACTTGTCGTTTTGATTTCTAGTACTAAATTTGTTTGTTAGCTAAACATCAATTTCGTTCATCCTGTATTGGAACTGAACACTCAAGTAATGACTTTCACTACTCCACTACAAAAGCATTCAAAGGCACAGCTCATAGGACGGCCACGTTCACCTCCCTCAGGTTCACGGTCACAGAGTCACTTAAAATAGTGGCAAGACAGACAATGAACCAATCACAATTCACTTGAGCACTCCGCGGGATTGCTCCGGGTCTCACATAATATTGGCAAAGAATAGCGTACGGTCTATGGCGTTTATTTTTAGACTGCCTACTGTGGGCTATGTTTCGGCACTATTCGGCAGGAGCACATTTGAGATGTGCCGTCTTATTAATATTAATGTATCGCCAAACTCGCTATGAGTGTCGTCATCGCTTGGGTTATCTCCAAGAGCGATTTATTTATAGGTCAGGTTACACTGTTGAATATCCTATTATGTTTAGCTAAAGCGCATGGACTTTGGCTTTGCATAGTAGATGTTTTACGGCGCTATAGACACAGAAATGACAGTTATGGTGCCAGTGAGGACCTTGTTTTGATATGATATTTGGCTGGTGTTTGTTTCTGGCTTCTTTTATTTTATGATTGTGGGTGTCTTACGTTATAAAACATTTTAAAAAATTGGGCGGCACTGCACGACCGTGCTCTATGGACGAACCGCGCCTGCTTTACGTATGTTCTAAATTGGCTTTTTTACTACTTGCCCAAGTTCTATTTCTTCCTTTGAAGCCTGAGTCTGATTTTTTAAATCAAGAACTAAAAAGAATATCAAGAACTAAAAAGAATAGAGAGCTGTTGATTTGACTTTTGACAAAGTAAAAAACTCTTCCCTAAATGCGAAAGGAAAAAAAGTGCTTTATGATTTATAATAATAGCATTAAAAATTATTGCTATGTATATATTGCTACCTAGTGGAAGGAAAATGGGGGGGGGGGGGGAGTGGGGGCAAGGAAGACAGGGCTCTGCCTTATTTACTTGTTTTTTACGACTCTTTGACTATTTTCAAGACTTAGTTGGTGAGGATTCCATTGAAGAGCATAATATATTTATAAAGCCACAGTGGATGTCTTTTTGTGTACGGTATGTATTCTTTGCCAGATTATGAGTGTATCATGTATTTGAAAGAATTGTTGTAGGCCTACAGTGGAACTTAGATTTAACTAAGTCGTTGGGCCTGACTTTTAATTTTGTTGAATCTGAGTGTTTATTATAGCAAACATGAGGTTTTTGTGTAGATAATTATAGGCACCAAGCAAGTAATGTAGCCTCTAATGTATTCAACTTCCTTAATTAAAAATACCTTAGTTTTGTTTCAATTGAGAGGCTTTTTCGTTCCTTTGATGTCACACTGAAGAAATGCTGGAAAATTCTAGGAAAATACACTGAACTCTACCAAGCACACGCTGTGGAAAAGGTCCGATTAGTTCTATCAAATGCACGCCAGCATCATCTATCATCTATCACGTATTGTTTTAAAAACATGTGTTGCTGTGTATAGCCTAGCTTACGGTAACGTATTATTCCACAGACCAGTGCGCAATTCATTACAAAGATTTATGTCAAGACTAGCTTATCATTGTAATATTGATCAATAGCAAGGGGGGGGGGTGACTGTGAGTACTGTCACACACACACACACACACACACACACACACACACACACACACACACACACACACACACACACACACACACACACACACACACACACGCACGTGTGCTGGCTGCAAGTCCGACTCTGACACACTCTAAGATATGTGTGCGTGCCAACAACGCATGTGTTGGTATGAAAGAAGGCTGCTGATTGGTCGCGAAAGACATTAATAATAGGTTAACCGAATAATGATTTACAATGTAGATTTCATACAGATGGTTTCTAGGAATAGATAAGTTCGTTTTGGGAGAAAAATGAGTGAAGCCACATTGATGGGGTAGGGGGGGGGGGGGGGGGGGGGGGCTGTTCACCTAGCAAGCGACTTCATTAAATCCGAGCTTGTTCATGTATGTGTTTGTTGAAATCGATTTTTATTGATTTTAATGAATAAAAAAAACCCAGGGAATCCATCTCCTTCTATTGAATCTGACTTTTTGTTGAATCTGAGTTCTACTGTATGCTGAATGGCCCAGTATGTAGGAAATGTTGATTTAAATTGTATTTTATTGTGAAGAGCCAGGAGCCGCCAGGGATTGGGCGTTATTGAAGTGATCATTATTATTATTATTATTATTATTATTATTATTATTATTATTATTATTATTATCATTATTATTATTATTATAAAAATGACATTAGAAACAGGAAAAATGTGGGGTATCATGGTGAAATCAGACATATGTCAAAATTGTGAAATTGATGACATGAACATTTTTCCATCCGTTTTGGCAATTTTTATCTATTATTTTTTGTTTTGGGCATCTTTCATATCCTCTTAAAAACACATTCCTGCTCAGATTAGACTGAAAAAATGTTGATCAAAGGCACAAAAAATGTAAATTTGTAGTTTCCAAGAACACAACAGCGTTGAAAGTCAGCAAAGTTTAGCTGTCATTTTCTCGCTACTTTCAACATTACACCAGACGACCCCCACCTCCTTCGATCTCAAATATCTTGACTTCTATTCAAGATAGAGAATAGGTGTTTTTAATCCTCAAAAGCAAGGTAAATGAACAGGTTTTAAGATGATCCGAAAATAACTCCATATGCCCAAAAATTGACAAGCTCCTGATTCAACCATGTCATGAAACAAATACTAAGGACTATTGTCTTTCTTTCACATGTTCAAATGGACAACTGCAGTTCTTTTCGTGTACAGATGTTTTAAATGTATGTCAGTCACTCAGACAAAATTACAGCAATTTCTAATAAAAATGGTATTCCTGACCAAAATAAAACAAGCC